ATAGAGTCAAGGAATTGGTTAGGTTATACAGTATATCTATCACTGCCTTTAGTGTTTAAAAGGCTAATAAATAACAGTGATTTTCACTTGGGGCCAGGGTAGGGATTAGAAGGCAGTGTTGACAAAAATGGTATCTACATTTACATATACACACAAAGGCCCATACTTAATTTGAGTATATTAAATAACATTAATAATATTAAATAAAGTCTTTATGAATACTGATAATATATTTTAAATACTTTTCCTTTGAGAATATTTATCACAGAAAATATACAGTATTACATTTCATATTATTATATCATAATAAATAATATGTGACAATTAACTGAGTCCTTGGGCAAGTCATTGGGAGAAGGAGATGGGGGTTACGTGACCATCACAGTCACTTCCACCTTTAAAAGCTTGAGTCTATAAATGAATACAGATCCCAATAAATCATTTTTTTATTTCTTTAAAACACTTACAAAGTGCTCATTATGTACCAGGCACTCCGGGTAAGCATGTTACAAATATTTACTCATTAAATTCTCATTGTAATGCTATAAGATAGGTTCTTTTTCATTTTAAGCTCTTCAGAGTTCTTGTCTATAAAGATAGACTCTTAACATCATTTGTCCTTTACAGAGGAGGAAACTGAGAAACAGAGGAGTGAAATAATTTGCCTACTAACAGCTAATAAATGGTAGTAGGAATTACCCAGACAAGAACACATGACATTTGGTTGGGCTCATTTGAACTTTTAGTTTTAAAAAAAAAAAAAAAACTAAGGTGTAGGAAAGTCATGTTTCCCCTTCCCCACCCCACACCATGAACCCCACTGCAATCCTAGCGTTGCCAGCGGAGCCATTTCATGTTCTTGTCTTCGCCACACAGAAGAATATGAAGCAAGACAAAAGTGAAAGTGTAGCAGATTTATTACAGAGCAAAAGCAAGAACACACTCAAGAGGAACGGGGACATGCTCAAAAGAAGGAGCCACGCCCAACACGGCCGGGGCTCACCTACTAGATGGATAGGCATAATGAAGGCATGGAATATTCTATGCTAAGGGAATGGGCTTTCCAGGAAATTGATGGGCAGTTCTCAGAATGGGGTGCCACCCTTCTACTGACTAAATACGGTTAGTCCAGAAGTGTTAGGTGCATGACAGGAACGAGAGGCTCTTCCCCATGGAACTTTTATGGTAATGGGGGGTATAATGTAGCCAAGGGTTGGCAGTCATTTATTTGCATCATTTGTGTTTTTAAACATATACTAATTAATTGTAGCATGTAAATCTTGGATTTAACTAGTCGTGGCCAGTTTCTTCTTTGTTACATTCTCATCTGTGCCTGAAGCAGGATGGCTGCAGTCTGTCTTTATTGGTACAGCCTGTTGTGACCATTCCTTTTCACTAGGAGGCAGGTTTTTGTACTAACCTGTTTGGCCCGATCTGTATTGCTTTTAACCTCCAGCAAGTAACCATGTCTTTTCTCTGGCTAGCTGCCTGCCTCACTAGGCTACGGGGTTTAGGGACAGGCTTGAGGTACAGTCAGAAACAGACATTATAAGGTCAAAGATGGGGATTTCTCTAGTTTATATTATTTTGTATAAAAAAAGATTTTATATAGACCGGGCGCGGTGGCTTACGCCTGTAATCCCAGCACTTTGGGAGGCTGAGGCGGGTGGATCACAAGGTCAAGAGATCGAGACCATCCTGGTCAACATGGTGAAACCCCGTCTCTACTAAAAACACAAAAATTAGCTGGGCATGGTGGTGTGTGCCTGTAATCCCAGCTACTCAGGAGGCTGAGGCAGGAGAATTGCCTGAACCCAGGAGGCAGAGGTTGCGGTGAGCCGAGATCACGCCATTGCACTCCAGCCTGGGTAACAAGAGCGAAATTCCATCTCAAAAAAAAAAAAGATTTTATATATATTTTAAATGGCCTCTTTTGTGACCTTTTCAACCAGGTACTCAGGATGACTTTAATATGCATAAGCCTTCAGAAAGAATGTGCAAGAAGCTACAAAATTAGGTGGAGATTGCAGGGAAGAGAGAGACTTTCTATTCTTGTTATTCACTTCTCTATATATATTTTAGGTGTTTGCATTGCATTACTAAAAACAGTAGCAATGTTTTAGAAAAAATGCCTTGCCTTGCCAGATGCTGATGGCGAGTGTTCATTGGGCATGAGGTTGTGTGCTAAGCTCTTTATGTTGATCTCGATTAATTTTCATAACAGCCTATGAATGACAGGTGTTTTGTCGTTGTCATTGTTGTTGTTCAGAATCAGAGTCCTCCTGGTTTGATCAGCTGGGTGGTAGAGATGCCCTTCCCTGAGGTGGGGAACAACCGTGGAGGAGGGACAAGTCTGGAGGGAAGATGGGGTGGGCTGAGGTGTTGGGTGGGTGAGGTGCCAATGTCCAGTGTGCAGTAGGGTGTCTGCCTAGGGCACCATCATATGAGGAGGAAGGCCCTGAGAATGCATGAGATCACTCAGGGACAGCTGGGACAGTGACGAGAGGACCAAGAGTGGACACCGGGGAATCCTCTCTTCAGGCAGGTGGGGGAAGGGGAAGGAAAGAAGTCCCCTCAGTGTCAGCGAGGGGTGGGCTCCTGAGCATCCCGTTCCCGCCTTGCTGCTCCGCTCGGCCCTCGGTGCTTGACCCTCTCTCGGAAATCTCTAGTCGTGACCCTCACTTGAACCTGGACCAGTTCTCACCAGAAAAATTAGCTGGAGCTGACGCAGTCGTTGTAAACAGTTATAATAAAATGCTAAGGACACCCCACTCACTTTTCCAATACAGGCACATATGAATATAAAATTGGTCTGAAATTCCACAAACTAAAGAATTCCAAGAAAGCCTGGACTTTTTTTGTTTCTTAAGTTCTTTCCCCTGGGCCATTTTGGCCATTGTTCTTTATTGAATGGCTGAGAGAGCCTATGCTGTTCCTTGAAGTCCTGATGGTTAAAGCACATAGCTTATTTACATTTAATTCTTGCGCAAGCTCAATGAAATCCACACAGTTCCACATAGATTTCGTGTCCCTGGACAACGTGCATATACTTAATTTTCTCTGTTTAGCTAGAACCCTCAACATTTAACTTCTTTTCTCCTGAACCTCAGCTCATGTCCAGGGGCAGCTGTTTTTGGGTTTATGGGCTGGAACAGACGTCAGTATTCCTGCTGCAGGCCGACCACTCGACAGAACATCAGAGGGGAAAGCTGAGCAGAGGTGTGGCCTTCCCTGGCTGCGTCCTGCCACCGTGACACCACCTGCTGACTTCTGACTGTCCTCTTTCTTTTTGCTCCCTACCCCCGTGTCCGATACCCTCCTTGAAGATGGCCTGTGGTTGTCAAAAGGCCCCACCCTCACAGTTACATACCAGAATTGTCTCTTTGGCATGGTGGCATATCCACCTCTGCTCTCCAAAATCTGCCTTTTCCAAAAGTCCGCAAGCCTGGAGACCTTTCCCATGCCCTGCAGCTCCAGCCCGAGGGGGAGGAGCTGCTCCCTGATTTGCCTTTGATCCCTGGGTTAGGAACACATCCGCAGAGACTTCGGTTCCTGAATGTTTTGGAGGGCCCCACCCGGGACACTCCCGAGCAGGTGGGGCTAGGACATACATAGGAGCCTGGGTGAGAAGTTCAGGCTGCTAGGCCTTAATCGGAACTGTCTGTAAGAGATGAACTCGTCATGCCCCTGGTTGTTATTTCTCTCAAGGCTTTGGCAGGAATCTTAGAAGTATCACCAGAAACTGGTCATTAAATCAGCATAGAGACTTCATGACCGACTGATCTAAAGTCTGGCAGTTTAGATATCAAATAGGACTCTACAGGGAAGGAGAGAGAGCGCTATTGTTTTTCTATATATCAGTAGGTAGAGGGCCGCTGGGTGTCTCCCCAGGCTTCTGTTTCAGCATGAGTCAAAGGCCCCAGCTGGTCTGGCTGGGCACCTCCCAGCCACCCTGCAATACTCAGGGCACACAGGCTGCTCAACGTCCCTCCCGGCATGCAACTGCCCAGCCTTTCTCTGGTCCCTCTGCCCGGTCCCTCCGTTCCTGCACTCCTGGCCATCCTCCCAGGCCCTGGGCATCCCTCTCTGGCTCTTTCTCCTGTGTGCCGGGGCAGCCTGTGCACAGTCCGATTTTCTGCTGACCACCACCTTACTTCCATGAAGGCCTGCTGACCACCACCTTCCTTCCATGAAGGCCTGCTGAGGGTGCAAGGGACTTTCTGCCAGTTTCCAAGTGCTCAGAAGTGGGGACTGCATCTTAATCAGCGGTATATTGTGGGTGCTTGGTGTCACATGTGTCACATGGCCTTGGACGGGGCAGGACTTCAATACACATTTGTTGAATTGAACTGGAACCTGGAAGAAAACAACCTGTCGGTTCCTAAATTACTTAATTGCATCTTCATGTGAGAGGAGACTATGTGGTGATAAATTCCTCACTTTCTCGTCAAAATTACCTAAATCATTCTCCCTCTTAGCTAGAAATGTTAAAAGAATGTCCATGCCTTTCCGAATACTGCCCTCATGAACTGCTAAATCCAAAAGGTGTTTTTAGGCTTTATCACTTACTCTTACTCAGAGATTTGATACAGCTGCCCGATTACTCCCTCCTTTTTTTTTTTTTTTTTTTTGAGACAGAGTCTTGCTCTGTCACCCAGCCTGGAGTGCCGTGGTGCCATCTCTGTCCACTACAACCCCTGCCTTCCGGTTCGAGCAATTCTGCCTCAGCGTCCCAAGTAACTGGGACTACAGGCACCTGCCACCATGCCCAGCTAATTTTCTGTATTTTTAGTAGAGATGGGGTTTCACCGTGTTAGCCAAGATGGTCTTGATCTCCTGACCTCGTGATCTGACCACCGTAGACTCCCAAAGTGCTGGGATTACAGGCATGAGCCACTGTACCCTGGGCCTGCCCACCTTTTTTTAATGCTCATTCTGTTACCAGCCACAGGCTCTTTGGCTCCCCAGATAATATGGAAATTAACACAGGGCCAAACAGATTTCCCAGACTAGGGCTTTATTTCAAGGCTTATACTAGAGCACAAAGAAGACAGCAGAAGCCCAAAGATCCTCCAACTAGTTCCCCAAAAAGAGCTGGGAGGTATTTTTTGGGGGGCAGAGTGTGGGAATTGACATTGAAGGAGGTATGTGGGCTGGGCTGGGCAAAGCCCATGATGAGTGGGATGGAGGTCATGATGGGGATGGTGATCTTGAGTAATGGGCCAGCTGGGGGTCTGGCTGGAGGCATCAAGGCTGTACATCAGTTGTTCAGCATTCCTTTCACAGGTGGGACACTGTAACCTTGGTTCAGCGTTTGGATTCCTAAGGCCAGTTCCTGAAATTCTTTAAGTAAAAGGCGTGGTAAAACTTTATAAGAGCACAGAGGAATGGCTATTTTTTTGTATGACCAAAATCTCAGGGTTAGCAGGTATAGTGTCAGCAAGGTAGTAGTGTGGATTTTAAGAAGAGAAGAAGAAAAAAAAAGCAAAAGCAAATGTGAAGAAATATGTGAACCACTCCCATTCCATCCAATTCCAGGTTCCTAGGACACCATCCTCAGCTGGCTGTCGTCAACTCCTACATCTCTCACTGCGCCTTCCCTGAGCCTGGCTCCCTTCCTCGGCCCATGTCTTAACCACTGGAATTCTCCAGAGTTCTGAATTCCCCCTGGATGACTGGCTTTAGTTATTATGTATCTTCTGTGTATATCATCCAGATGCGGACCCCTCCCAAGTGGGTCTGAATGTGACAGGGCCCCTAAAATTTAACGTATCCAAACATGAGCTCACGATCTCCCCCATAGCCTCGCTCCCTGTGGACTTCCCTGTTTCCCTGTTTTCTGTGTTTGATGGCATGTTCAGGAAAGTCTGAAATCTGGAGTCATCTGTTTCTCCCTCTCTGCAGCTTCCACACCAACCACTGGCCGAGTCTCCACCCTCACCCAGACATCCCACTCTCACTCCCTTTCTGTATATCCCTGCCACCTCTTCCCTGGACTATTAGAACCATCTTCTAATGGTTCTTCTCTTTAGTTTGTCCTCCATCCTGCTGCCAGTTATGTTTCTGACATGCAAATCTATGTTACTCTCCTGTCTAAATCCTTCAATAGCTCCCCATTTCACCTGAATTGCTCCTTACATCTTCATTTGGATCCTGTAGCCCCTTCCTCCTTCTCTAGGCTTATCCCTCTATATGGCTTGAATGTCTGTCCCCTCCAGATCTCACATTGAAATACAATTCCCAGTGTTAGAGGTGGGGCCTAGTGGGAGGTGCTGCCTCATGGAGGCAGATCCCTCATGAAAGGTTTACTGTCATCCTCTGGTGTTGAATTCTCCCCCAGTTAGTTCACGTGAGATCTGGCTGTTTAAAGGAGCCTGGAACCTTCTCCTTTTCTGTCTCTCCCTCCTGCTCTCACCATGTGGTATGCCTGCTCCCTCTTCACCTTGTGCTGTGATGGTAAGATTCCTGAGGCCTCACCAGAAGCAGAGGCCAACACCATGCTGCTCGTCCAGCCTGCAGGTCATGATGGAGATAGTGATCTTGAGTAATGGGCCAGCTGGGGGTCTGGCTGGAGGCATCAAGGCTGTACCTCAGTTGTTCAGCATTCCTTTCTGAGGCGGAACAGCCTGTAGAACCATGAGTCAAAGTAAACTTCTTTTCTTTATAAATTAACTCGGTCTCAGGTTTTCCTTCATAGCCATGAAAATAGACTAACACCCCTTCTCATATATAATTTCTAGATTATAACATGTTATTTTGTGCATATATATGTATATACTGCCTGTAATTCTCCTCACTTAGGCAGCAAATTTCTCTTAATCCATCATAGACATGCTCAAATATTCCCTCCTCTGTGAGGTGTTGTGCCATCTTCTCAGAAAGTGAGTAGCTTCTTCTCTTATTAATCATGTTTCTATCCCACCTGGGACCATGAGATTCTCAAGGGCAGTGACCATATCTTTTTAAACACTGTATTCCCAGCACCTATGTTCCTGGCACATAGTGCACTGTCAGATGAACGAATCTTGGCTTCTTCTCTTTTTGTTGACTTTCCCATTAGAACCTCATGTTTCACTCTTAAAATGAGACTACTGACTATTTCCCATTTACTAACATATTAGCCCTTCTCAAGGATTCTGAAAACAGCAGTAAAAATTAACAGGATGTGGCAGCAGTATTATTGTCTTCTGAAAGGGTCAGATTGTTTAGGTTAACACATGAACCCGGTTTGCTCAAAACGTGAAGAGGACACATTTTCTACTTTCTCTTCCTTTGGAAAAAGTAGAGAGGGGATGGAAACAACCATTTATTGAACAGCCTGTGCTAGGGATGAGACATAAGCTCTCATTTCCCAGGCCCTCCTAAAATTTTTCTTGAGTAGACATGAGTAGATAATCACTGGACAGGAAGAAGTTCTAGCTTGGCTACTCCCTAATGTGTGGCTGCCTTGAGCAAATGGTCCCCTCAGAGGCTTTATCTCCTCATCTGAAGATAGAAGTGTCAGTCTCCAGGATCTAATGTTTCCTTAGCAAACATTTGCTGAATGGATCGGCTCTGAGCCAGAGCCCATACTGGGCGTTAAGAATGCAAATAAGATGCGACTCATAGCCTTCATACTCAGTGATGGAGAATAATTCCATTCTGACTGTACAAGGTCTATTGTAACTACTTAAAGTCAATCACTTATTGGAGCTGTATAAACAAAGCATGTTCAGTTAAAAAAGAAAAGCCTACAGAGCCTAACCTGTGTAAAACTTCCTTCTAGGATTTATGGGGATTAGAATAAGAATGAATTATGGTTCCTGCCTCAATCAAGGCTCTAATCCAATGGAGGACACACTATTCATGCTGCAAACACATTTTATAATTGAAATTTTCATCCATGCAGGAAGAGTTTTCCAAAAAACCAGTATTAGACCAACTCAGATTATCCGAAGGATTTTACATTACTTATGATTAAGTTAAAGGGAAGCAGATACTGGGGCTAAATGTTTCTCCTAAATGCAGATTGGCTTCCCTCACACGAGAACTTTGCAGTGGTTTTGATAAAGCGTGATGAATACTTCAGCTGTGATGTGTTCTTTTACTTGAGGCAGCCAGATCTTAAAGAGGCATTTACGTCTGTCAGGGATATGTTTCATCCGATTTGTATTCTCACAGAGTCTAGCCATTGTTTATTTTACCTTGTATACGCTAAATCACAGGCCAATGCTATACCATGCTGGGAATATGTACCTAGCTTCAGACAACCATAGACTATTTTCCCCTTTGGCTTATGGCAAGATTCAGAAGGAAGATTTGGATAATTGTTTGAAATCTACTTATAATGTCTAAGATATCTTCGATGATGATGACTTTGTTAGTAGGATTGGCAACCGATGAGTTAAGTAGACTAAGAACAGAAGACATAGGATAATACATCAGTCATTTCAAAGTCCAAGAAATGAAATTGTTTTAAATGCATTTTTTAAAAAGACTTCATTTTCTAAAATAGACTTTGTTTCCTCGATAAGTTTTAGGTTCACAACAAAACTGAACAAAAACTACAGAGAGTTTTCATATATAGCCTGTTCCCACACAGGCACAGCCCCCCACCCACTCACTATCAACATCCCCCACCAGACTGGTACATTTGTTAGAATCGATGAACCTACATTGACACATCATTATCACCCAAATTCTCCAAAGTGTACATTCGAGTTCATACTTGGTGTTGGATATTCTGTGGGTTTTGGCAAATGCATCCACCTTTATAGTATCGTAGAGAGTAGCTGCATTGCCCCACAAAGCCTCCTTGTTGCACCTTTCCACTCCTCCTCTCCCCTTCCCCTGCCAACCACTGATCTTTTCTCTGTCTCCATAGTTTTGCTTCTCCTAGAATGCCATAGAATTGGAATCAAAGAGTATGTAGCCTTCTTATATTGGCTTCTTTCTCTTAGTAATATGCACTTAAGTTTCTTCCATGTCTTTTCATAGCTTGATAGCTCACCTCTTTTTACTGATGAATAAGGTTTTATTGCCTACATGGACCACAGTTTATTTATCCATTCACCTGACATCTTGGTTGCTTTCAAGTTTTGAAAATTATGAATAGAGCTACTATACACTCATGTGGATGTAAGTTTTCCATTCGTTTGAGTAAATGCCTAGAAGCGCAGTTGCTCGAGTATATGATAAAAGTGTGCTTGGCAGTAGGAAACTGCCCACTGTCTTCCAAAGTGGCCATACCATTTTTCGTTCACACCAGCAATGAATGAGAGATTCTGTTGCTCCACATTCCCGCCAGCATTTAGTGTTGTCATTGTTTTAGATTTTTACCATAGCTATGTGGTGGCATCTCATGGATGTTTTCATTTGCAATTCCCTAACGACATGTGATGTCGAGCACTTTTTTAAAGGCTTGTTTGACATACGTGCATCTCCTTTAGTGAGGTGTCTGTTCAGATCTTTTGCCCATTTTTTAATTGGGCTGTTCATTTCCATATTGTTGAGTTTTAAGGGTTCTTTGTATATTTTAGCTAACAATCCTTTATCAGATGTGTCTTTTGCAAATATGTTCTCTTTACGTATAGCTTGGCTTCTCATTCTCTGGAAAGTGTCCTTCTCTGGCCAAAAGTTTTGAATTTTAATGAAGTCTGGTTTATCAATTATTTCTTTCATGGACCATGCCTGTGGTGTTGAATCTAAAAAATCATCACCTTATTCAAAGTCATCTAGATTTTCTCCTGTGTTGTCTTTTTGGAATTGTCTAGTTTTGTGTTTACACTTCAGTCTGTGTTTAGGCTGATTTTTTTTTTTTTTTTTTTGGCATGTGACTATCCTCTTGTTGCAACATCATTTGTTGAAAGATTATCTTTTATCCATTGTATTGCCTTTGCTGCTTTATAAACGTAAGTTGACTCTGTGTGGGTCTGTTTTGGGCTCCTCATCCCGTTCCATTTATCTCTTTGTCTGTTCTTTCACCAGTACCACACTATCGTGATCACTGTGGCTTCACAGTCAGTCTTGAATTTGGAAAGTGTCAGTCCTCCAGTTTTGCTCCTTCATTATTGTGTTGGTTATTCTGTGTCTTTTGCTCCTTCATATAAACTTTAGAATCAATTTGCTGATATCCACTGTTTTGGTATTTTGTTTGTTTGTTCGTTTAAAACTGAACATTTAAAATATGGTATTATTTAAACTCTTGAAATCAGATCTTGTCTTCCCAGAGCTGTTACTGTTGCTGTCTGTTTAATGAATATCCTGAACTAATTCTCTAAAATCTGTATCCCTCGTTGTAGCCACTGAAGTATCTACTCAGTTAATTTAGTAATCAGCAAATGATGGGACAGAGGTTTTCTTAGATACCTTCAGCTGGTCCATCTCCCAGCCTTTGCTGAGGGGCTCTTTGTGCATGTAACATAACAGTATGGCTTCAACGTTCCAGCAGGGAATTGATGACTCTGCTTTAGTCTTGATTTCCTGCTTGTGCAGATCATCGAGGTCAGCTAAAGGTAGAAGATTAGGGCCAGCTCAGGTCTTTCTGGGTGTACACACAGTTCTGCACATGTACTTGGCCTTCCAGATTCATAGGAATACATTGGACTTTTCCAAGGCCCCCCCCACCCCCACCAACCATGGACATCTCATTCCTCCAGATATTCTTTTTAAGCTTTTTGATTAGCATCTTGTTTGGCTCAACTGTTACTACCATTTCAGACAACTGCCATGTTAGCTAATTACTACTGACTGTCTTTGACCCCCTGGGTATAAGCTAGTTTCAGTGATGATTTGAGTCCAGTTAAATAATGGAGGGCTTCAGGGAGTTTCCAGGCAGCTCAGATAATGACAATTCTTTGGCAATGGAGTTTTGGGGAAGCTCAAACTCTTTCTTCCCTACTCCAATTGTGATGCTGTTGATTTTCTTTTTCTTTTTTTTTTGAGACGGAGTTTCGCTCTTGTTACCCAGGCTGGAGTGCAATGGTGCAATCTCGGCTCACCGCAACCTCCGCCTCCTGGGTTTAGGCAATTCTCCTTCCTCAGCCTCCTGAGTAGCTGGGATTACAGGCACGCGCCGCCATGCCAGCTAATTTTTTGTATTTTTAGTAGAGACGGGGTTTCACCATGTTGACCAGGATGGTCTCGATCTCTTGACCTTGTGATCCACCTGCCTCGGCCTCCCAAAGTGCTGGGATTACAGGCTTGAGCCACCGCGCCCGGCCCAAACTGTTTTCCAGAGACTGTACCCCCTTGAAAGTTTCAATAGTTCTGAATCCTTGCTAATACTTTCGTCAGCATTTTTAACTTTGGCACCCTGTTGTGTAGTGGTGTCTCATGATTTTAATTTCCATTTCTTTCATGACTAATGATGTTGAACATCTTTTCATGTGCATATTTGTCACTTCTATATCTTCTCTTAAAAGTACCTATTCGAATATTCTGCCCATTTGAAAAATCAGGTTGTGGCCGGGCTTGGTGGCTCATGCCTGTAATCCCAGCACTTTGGGAGGCCAAGGCAGGTGGATCACCTGAGGTCTGGAGTTTGAGACCAGCTGACCAACATGGTGAAACCCCATCTCTATTAAAAATACAAAAAATTAGCCAGGCATGGTGGCGCATGCCTTTAATCCCAGCTACTTGGGAGGCAGAGGTAGGAGAATCGCTTGAACCCAGGAGGTATAGGTGGCAGTGAGCTGAGATTGCACCATTGCACTCCAGCCTGGGCAAAAAGAGTTAAACTCCATCTCAAAAAAAATTAAAAATTCAGGTTGTTTGACTTGTCACTGTGTTTAAGAGTTCTTTAGGTATTCTGAATATGAATCCTTGATCAAATTCATGTTCTGCAACTACTTTCTTTCAAGTAGAGAAGCAATTTGTAAGGTACAGACAAACATCTGAGTTGAGGGGCAATAAAAGGACCCAAAGCTACAAAGTCAAATCTACTTAGAGTCTTCGGCTTTAGGAAATAATAAATAAGCTTCCTGCATGCGTCAGAAAGTATAAGGCACATTTGAGTCTGTGGTATATAGAAGATGATTCCTTTGATGTCTTTTGTGTATGTCATAGATCAAAACTTCTTCGCAGAAAAGCAGAACAGAGTGTTTTGTTTGTGCTTCCAAACCATGATGGAAGAACAAGTTCGCTGGATAAGTTCATTTTATAAATAACAATCTTTCCCTAAACAACCCTGTTACAGAGCCGCCACATGTGCAGTATCAACCTTTATTTTTGTTCCCGTCACATACCACTGTTAGGTAGACATACTAACACACATGGAATGGACCAAAGAGACAGGCTGAGAACCTGCCAAAGACAGTCTCCGATGAGATGATCGGCTTCTGACCCAGCATTGCCTGGTGTGTCTGACACTGATGAACGTGTAGTCAGAGGGTACATTGGAGATGGTTGAAAATGAGGAGAGTCACTAAACGTATTTTAGTCAGTGAGTGACGTGAGAAAAAGTTGAGAAATAGAAATGGTTTCACTGCAAAGCTTTAGAAGTGGTAGCCAAAGCAATTAGGAGGCTGTTGCCTGACTCTCGGTAAACGACAAGAGACTGAATTAGGGCCAAAGGAGAGGCAAGCCTTCAAAGACATCATAGAGGTATAAGTGACAGGATTTGGTGATCAATGAACATAGATCGTGAAGGAGTAGAGCCTCAGGATGACATCATTTTCTAGTTTGGGTGGCCCACTGGTGATGCTCTTCAGTCAAGACAGTAAGTAGGGGAAATACATTTTGAAGAGAATGCAAAATGTGACTTGGGCTCAGGTGAGATGCCTGGGCTGAAGACAGAGGACTGGGTGTCGTTAGAGTTTAATTTATGTTAAGTTTCTTCACCGAAGCCATGGAGAATAAAAAAGCATCAACATCAGTCTGAATTCTAACAACAACCACAAAAATAGTTAAGGAGCAAGTTCTGCTTAGTGGCAGGAAGGAGATAGTGTCCAGAGAGATGAGATAATTTATAATCTTGAATGTCAAGGATGAAAAGAATTTCAAGGAATGATAGGTACAAATTAGTGACTATTGCTGTGAATAGGTCTTTGCTTAAAAAAGGCCATTGAATTTGATAGTTAGAAATTTGCTGGTCAAAACTGGAAACAACCTAAATGTCCATCAGAAAGAGAACAGGTAACCCAATTGTGCATCTTCATACCATGGAGCGCTACTCAGCAACTAAGCTGAATGACTATTAGCATATTCAGCACCATGAGTCAATCTCGCAAACATCGCGTTGAATGAAAAAACAGTCATTCAAAAAATACATACTATTTAATTCTACTTACACAATGACCCAGAAAAAGCAAAACTAACCTGTGGATGATCGAAGTCAGAAAGAGGGGCTGGGCGTGGTGGCTCATGCCTGTAATCCCAAGTGCTTTGTGAGACTGAGGCAGGAGGATCACTTGAGGCCAGGAGTTTGAGACCAGCCTGGGCAATACAGCAAGACCCTGTCTCTACAAAAAAATATATAAGAATTAGGAGGGCATGGTAGTAGGCACCCATAGTCCTAGCTACTTTGGAAGCTGAAGCAGGAGTTTCCCTTGAGCTCAGGAGTTCAAGGCTGCAATGAGCTATGATCATGCCACTGTACTCCAACCTGGGCAACAGAGTGAAACCCTCCTCTAAAAAAGAAAGAGAGAGAGAAAATGAGAGAAAGAGAGAGAGGAAAGAAGGAGGGAAGGAAGGAAGGAGAGGGAGGGAGGGAGGGAAAGAGGGTGGAAGGAAGAGGAGGGACGGATGGAGGAAGAGAAAGAAAGAAAGAGAAGGAAGGAAGGGGGAGGGAGGGAGAGAGAGAGGGAAGGGGAAGGGAAGAAGGGAGGGAGAGAAGGAAGGCAGGGAGGCAGGGAGGAAGGGAGGGAGGAAGGAAGCCCCTGTACCCCTGTGAGTAGTAGGAGGGAATGTGGTGGTGGAAAGAAGTGACAGGAAAGGAGCACAGGAAACTTGTTGGTGTGAAGAAGTGGGTTTTATTTGTTGTTGTTGTTGTTATTGTTTCAGTCAGGGATCAAAGATGAGACATTGAGCCCCTGAATTTGCTTGCTTCTAAATTCTCAGTAATTTTCAAAGAGATGTTTCTTTACAAAAGCCAACGTCCATCCAGGGAGAGAGATCACTACCATAACATTTTTCAGGCAGAGAAATGGAAACATGTAGTAGAGGACTTGGTGAGCGCATGCGCGCGTGCGCGCGCGCGCGCACACACACACACACACACACACACACATACAGAATCTAAGTGGTCACTGGTTGAAGTCATAAAATAACTCACTTTTCACTCCAGAAATTCTAAAATGCTCAAAAATTGGAGGTGAGGGTGAAAGAGGGCTAAAAATTGAGTCATTTAAAATCCTGTTTTGAAGTAGGTTGAGCCCTGGGTGTACCCCCCCAGTCTGTGTCTCAGCGAACTTCTCTCTCCTGTTATTATCAGGAGACAAGAAGTGGATTTCCTGGAGAAGTAAAAACAGACACACCCTAGACTGGGAGGCATCTGACATAGTTGAAAATGGGGTACTGTATTGAAAATGGGGGCCTCTGTGACAGTCTACCCACTTTCTAAGTGGTGACATTCCCAGGCCCCTTCTGCTACTGAGCTCCAGAACCCTGGAAGTCATCCTCAAAAATCTGAGATTTGAGAACTGTGATTATCACATGATAAAAAAGCAAAACAAGGGCAGCACATCCCAACTACAACAGTTCAGAGGAGTCTAAGAATGTATCCAAGGAAATTGTAACAATAGACTCTCTGATATGATAAGAAACTTAGGGTCAGGAAAGCAGTTGGATTTGAATTGAGAGACGAGCAGGTAGAAAACTAAGGAAACAAATAAGAGGCTTGTTTACTGCAGGAATAACAACACACTGAGAATGAAAGGAAAGATAATCAGCGTATTATATATTCCAAATAGCACTCCATGGTCATAATTAACACTATTGATTTATCCAAAAAACATGAAATTAGGACATAACCACATTTGAAAGAGACAAAGGGTGAGTGTATTGTGTGTATGAATGTGTGGTGTGGGGTCTGTGTTGGGGGCTGTGAGGGTGGGAATAGGTAGTAAAAGAAAATAACCTCTCATCTCTCACAGAACAGCCGATTGATAATAATTTGACTGGAAAGGTCAATAAGTGACAGCACAAACATGTCTTTAAAAGTAAACACCACAATGGCCGGACTCGGTGGCTCACGTCTGTAATCAGAGCACTTTGGGAGGCTGAAGTGGGCGGATCACCTGAGGTCAAGAGTTTGAGACCAGCCTGGCCAACATGGTGAAACTCCGTCTCCACTAAAAATACAAAAATGAGTCCAGCGTGGTGGCGGGTGCCTGTCATCCCAGCTACTCGGGAGGCTGAGGCATGAGAATCTCTGGAACCCAGGAAGCGGAGGCTACAGTGAGCCAAGATTGTACCACTGCACTCCAGCCTGGGAGATAGAGACTCATTCTCAACAACATCAACAAAAAGAATTAAATGCCAAAAGAAACAGAGTTATCTCCACAGGCATTCATAATTGTGATTTTTAAAGGCAATCAAGTAAAGCAAAATAATGAGTATTTGCAAAGAGAATGTCATGAAGATTAGAGTGCAGAGGGTTCAAGAGTGAAGGAAAACTGAGCATGTAATCAACAAATTGAGCTGTGAAAGAAATGGGAATGTCAGCGTAGTTGGTCTAGTTCCTTGGTGAAAAGACGGAAGTGAAGGAGAATTGATAGGTTGCTTGATTATGGTTCTTTGGGTAGCTAACTAACTGGTTAGTCAGTTTGTTTAAGACAGGAGTGGGCTCAAAGAAAAGCAAGCAGTTGAGAGAGATTGCAGATGTCAGAGGGAATAAACAAGGTGACCACGTCCCAGATGAAGTGGTGGGTGTGAAATGAAAACAAGGTTGAGGAGTTGGCTTTGATAAAGAATAGGACTATCTTTTCCTGTGAACCAGAACACTAGTGGGATGAATAAGCTCATAGATACAATTTAGGGTGAAAAAGATTATTAAAAGAATTCTTATCTAATAGCTTATATTTGCTCACTGGCAATGATGGCTATGTCATGTGTTGAGAGACTGAGTCTCTTTGGTGGTCTGAGATTGGGAGCCAACCAGAGGAGAAAAAAACGAAAGAAACGCAGAGTAACATCTTCAAGAGTCTAGCTGAGGGGGAAAATCAAAATGTATTTATTAGCACAGGCTACCTTGAGGAAACCCCGCGACTGAGCGGCTTAAACAACAGAAATTTATTTTCTCACTGTTCTGGGGGCTGTAAAGTTGAAGATCAAGGTGCTGGCAGGGTTTGGCTCCTGGTAAGGGTCCTGTGACCTGTAGGCGTCTGCCTTCTCACTGTGTCCTCACATGCAGAGAGAGAGAGGGAGCTGTCTGGTATCTCTTCTTACAAGGACATGAGTCCTCTGGGATCAGAGCTCCTCCCTGGTGACCTCATTAACCCTTAATCATGTCTTTACTCCAAATCAATCACGTTGGGCATTAGGGCTTCCACGTCTGTATTTTGGAGCAACATAGTTAGTCTATAGCATGTATACTTAAGCACTGTACTGTGAGTTATTTTCCACCTATTCCCAGCCGCCTGAGATCAGTAGAAAAGGCACATGGTTGTGTTGATCTGTGTTTGGGGATTAACAGGATAGACTTGATGCAAGGTCAAGGTGGCCAACAATTTGAGGGGCTGGTGAAAGTGTGGCTGAAATGATTGGCCATGGATTCCAAGAACAGTGGAAAGAGAAGCCAGAAAAGGGCTGGGTTTCGATTAGGGAAGAGGCAGGGATTGGTAGGCTTGGTGGTAGAGTCCTTACAGTCAGAAGGCTGGAGCACAAATGGAAACAATTTTAAAGCTACCTTCTGTGGGTGCAGTGCTGTCTTGGGACATAATTTCTTGTTGCTGCAGTTTCAACTTTACTGGAAACAAAGGAGGATTATCAAACTGAAGAGATTTAAATTCATTAATGAAAGTAATCATCACATTTTTCTTTCGTTTTAGACGACTAAATACGTTGAATAAGTGTGCCTCAATGAAACTTGATGTGAACTTCCAAAGGAAAAAGGTAGGTGCCCACACCTTAATAAGAACGTGGCTATGCCAATGAATGCAGCTTGCATTCATAGATTAAAAACAACATGAAGGCTGGACACAGTGGTTCGCATCTGTAAACCCAGCGCTTTGAGAGGCCAAGGCAGGAGAATCACTTGAGCACAGGCATTTTAGACCAATCTGAGCAACAGAGTGAGACCCTTGTGTCTACAAAAAAATAATAATAATAAATTAGCTGGGCATGGTGGCTTATGCCTGTAGTCTCAGTTATCGAGAAGCTGAGTTGGGGCCATCGCTTGAACCCAGAAGGTTGAGGCTGCAGTGAGCCATGATTGTGCCACGGCACTCCAGCCTGGACAACAGAGTGAGACCATGTCTCCAAAAACAAACAATAAAAAACATGAACCTAAGCAAAATTTTGAAATGCCTGACCATCCATGTGGATTCTCCATATCCCAGTTCATTTTATCATAACCACCGAAATAAGTCTATTGGAAACTCAGGCTGAAATCTGTTTGTTTCACCATTTCATGTTGCTTTCTCTTTTTATTAGAGGGTTTGCATAAAGATGTCAAATATCTCAAGGCTTTATGGTGATCTTTTAGAAGTGTCCATTGTAAATGTCAACTCCTTATTAGACTCAAATGCTTCATGGCAATGAGTAGATTAAAAGTTCAGAAAGGATCTGGGGGTCCATGGCAAGTGTCTTCTGGCTCATTTTTCCGAGTAGTGTTTTATTGAATGCACGTGTCAAGATGCATCCACTATCAGGCAGATTCAGTTGATAATGTATGAAGGAGCCAGGGGACAGTGTGACAAGATCCTGAACCTGGCGCATCTTTCACCATTCTCTCCACTGTGCACTCTTCGCTAGCCACAAGGAATTCGGTTTTGTTTGAAAAGTCACTATGCTCCCTCCCTGTCACAGGACTTGGAATGTGCTGCTTCCTCTTTATGGACAAGACTAGAGATGTCAGTTTTGAAATAAAGCTGGACTTTATTGAATATGTATTGTTTTCTATGAGCTAGGTTATGTACTTACCACACATTATCTCATTTAATCCATTGAAATGGGGCTCCTCTGTTTTCTATGTAAGGAAAGTAAATCCTGATAAGCTAGGTCATTGCCCACAATCTTGCAGCTAGCAGCGGAGCAGGGCGGAGCAGGGTTTCTACCTCAGGGATGTCTGACTCCAAAATTGAGGCTCCTAGTCACCATGCCGTACTGCCCTCTTTCTCACTGGATTGATTCTTTTTAGGAAATTCACAATTAGGATCCTTAACTACTTTTTTCATTTACCATCTCCACTATGTAGCAAATCAAGTCTCCATTTATTTTAAGGATCAGAGAAAACATCTTTGAATCAAAAGAAAGTGTTGTTTATCCTGGTCTACACAGAGAAATCATTAAAGCCGAAGAATTTTAAGTTGCTCCTAAGTAACCTAATCTTTAAAAATAACTTTAACCTGAATTTCTGCTCTAAAATAACACCAAAAAAAAAAAAAAATCAAATGAATTTTGGTGGACCTCACCTTAAAAACAATTTGAAAGTTGAGCTGGAAACCAAAGATTTAAGCTAAGGAGGTAAAACAGTGAAAAACAATATCCAGAGAAATATTAAAACATGAGCAGTTTGTCCAGGCCAAAGACAAATTAAAAATGTGGGAATAAACCTCCCAACAGCTGTCCGGCGGAATAGACCCCTTGAGAAACATACATACTATTTGAAGCATGAGGGTCAGATGTTGTTTTGATTGGAACACATGTTTCCTATTAAAGTGAACACAGCCATGCCTGTGTGTCTAAAGTGTGGGTCCTCAAGTGGCCGTCTATCCGGCTGCCTATACCGACCATTAGCTCTACTGCATCACAAAAGAAAATGCCAAAAACTAATGACATGAGTTGTTTTCCACACAGTGGAGTGATTGGATTTTTACCATCATCAGCTTTTCAAAACCCACAGGCGAGATGGGCTTGAATAACATTTGTTCAGCTCTTTGTGCCTTACCTTCACAAAAGCTCCTCTGTAAATCGATCACTTCGGTGTTCTGACCTTAATGCTGTCTTTAGATCGGATCTAGTGGCACGCACCCTTAAAGCCCCTACTTAACCATAAGCCTCAGAATGCGTGCGCTTGAATAAAATATTGCTTTTCACATCGTAAACTGGAGAGTCATGGCCTGAATTTTCCAATAAATAATGCTGACATGTGGTCTCCACCTACTTATGAATCTCAATAATGACCAGAGTCCGTGGCCGGATTGAAACAACCACTCAGGAGACGCTGTGTTGTGACACCCATTTGTGTGATCTTCCTTCTACACAAGCCATAGGCTTTATTTACTCCTTTATTTTACTGTGAAAAAGTAGGAAAAAAATGAATAGGAGCTAAGACTAGGCCAAATGATCAAAAATGAGAAAGGAGACTTGAGAGTTGAGCACCCCATGAAAAGCTTCAGCCAACTTTGAAATTTATTTATTTGGAAGAAAAATAAGCAGCATTTCCTCTGGATATGTCCCCATGTTAAGCCATCCAAGAAATAGAAATAGACACCCCATCTCAATCTGCAGAGTCCCAGACTTATTTAATTCTGCAAAAAGTCATCCCCAAACAGCTGAACTCTCTGGGGTCACAATCATTTTCTCTTGGGGCTGTCGGGCCTGTGAAAGGGTTACGGGTGCTGGCTCATCAGTTTGTGAGGTTAGCAAAAGCTGACAACACAAGGCTTCCTCCCTGCCAGGCACTCTTCCTTGTCCTGAACTCCATGTCACAGATGCAGAAACTGAAGGGCTTGGCACTTGCCCAAAGCCACATAACAGAAATAGCAAAGGCAGGACTTGAATCCAGGTAATCTGGCACCAGACTGCCCCTCCTCACCTTTCAGATATATTCAGAGAGAAACCGGAGCCTGGGTGAGCCTCTAGCCCTTGGCCTGAAATCTACAAGTCTCATGTTCCCTCAGCAGTACATTCAGCTCACTGTGTATTGTTTTTATGAGGTACGGTTCTTGCCATCTGTATGCAAGTCCATAATTTATTTATTGTCTTCATGGCAATTGTGTTTAATCCTGTAGGTTTTGATGGGCTGACACAAGGAAGGAAGCAAAAAGTCCACAAGTAGGTGGCGATGATGAAGGCCTTTGCATGCCTGGTTAGGCATACCCCTTTCTGATACATGAAATGCCACTTCCAAAGCACCAGGAGAAATGACATCATCCCTACCCTCCCACAACAGAGTTTCTAACTGTTTTGCACAAGACAAAAGTTATCCTTTAAGGCTTCGAGGTGACCTTCCCTGCCTCTATATAGAGTCAGGTGGAGAAGAGTATTGATCTTAGCTGCACACCTCACTAGAAGACTAACAACCCAGCCACGAGCATTTCAGGAGACAGGACACCAGTGCTTCTGCTGCCTGTGGCTCTGGCTCTCCACTCCCGTGGCATTCCTAATGGCCCATTCCTGTTTCCAAACAGGCAGGCCCGGCCACGTAGCTCCAGTTGACATCTAAATTTCTATGTGACTATGGATGAGTTGCCTTTTGCAGCTGTGGATTCGTGTGGGTTCCTGTTTCCAGTGTAAAGATATGGCCAAATTCCATTTTTGTAAAAAAGGCCTTCTTTATGGAATGTCTGGTTGGCATCTGTTTCTGAGGAATATATAATTTCACTGAAGAATGTTCTCATTTTTAGAAAAAAAAAAAAAAAAGGCCAAACGGTGGAGACTCATCTAAATTAAAAACACCAAGACGCACACAAAGCAGCTTTTCTCAGGAAAATGTTTCTTCCTCGTTATTACCTACAAAATTCGCACTTGCTCTATGATGACATTGAAATCTCCTGATTAAGGTGTTCATGTGATTCAGCTTCTATTCAAAGTAAAAGCCAGAGACTGAAGATTCCAATTAGTCTGTTTATTAAATGAGGAAAGAGAAGGATGTATATCTACATAGGACTCTTACCTTTCCTCTTACCTAAGAATATGTCTCAAGAGAGAAAGAGCAGCTTCCAAAGACGGTTCTGGTTGAAGTTATAGTTTTAATAAGGCTTTCTGAAATCATGACCAAAGGTAGAAAGTTAACACAGAAACCATGACTAATTGCCACCTTGCAGCCAGCACCTCCTGGCCTGGATGCCATCGGCATTTCAGAGGCACTGCAGTGTTGACAAGGGGCCCCGGCCCCCACCCCCACACTCCCCACTGCCTTGCAACCCCCGCATCTCCCACCAAATGAGACACCTCCTGGTAACTCCAAAGAGCAGTCAAATGAGAAAAAAACAACCTTTCAGTCCATCATTCCCTTGGTTAGAGAGTAACAGCCTTGAATTGCGGATAATTACATGTGACTGTCCTAAAACCATAGGGCCTTTGCGTAGAAAGGATCTTCCGTTTTCCAACCTCCCACTCACTCCTGCAGGATTTGCTTCTTAGAGCATCCCTCGCCCTGACAATTTGCTGAGCCACTGTTTATTAGAAGCTTCTCAACATGATGTTTTCACATGACAAGGCATTTTATTTTATTCTACAAACTAGAAAGGCCTTTCATATGATAAGCTAGGAACTGATTCCTTCTACACTGGCCCATCAGATCCTAGCTTTTTTCTCTGGAGAAGCACAGAGTATGGATTTCCCCCATTCACTCAGCATCCCTTTAGCTCTTTCCTTCAGAACTGGAATCAGCAAACTGCTGCTCCTGCTTTCATAAATAAAGTTTTATTGGATCAATAGCTATGCCCATTCATTTCACAACAATGACAGAGCTCATTAGGTGAGGGAGAGACCTTATGGCTCATACACCTAAAATATTTATGATATGGCCCTATACAGAAAACATTTTCTGACCCTTGCTCAATCTAGAAGAGTTTCCCAACTGTCTGTGGTGAATGACTGGCTTTCTTACTTTATTTCTTTCCAGTCTGCCACAGACCAAGATACTTTTGTAAAATTCAATACAAATGAATTATTAGAAATATGACTTTTAAAAATTACAGAAACAAGCCTTAATGGTTTATTGT